ACAACAATATACATCAACTTAAATTAGCAAATGTTTATAAAACTTTCCATTCCAAAAGAGAGTAATACAGATTCTTTTCAAGTGCAAAGGCTAGATTGAATTCTGGCTCATTGATAAGTTTCAGTAAATTTAAAAATGAGTCAAGTCATACAAAGTGTGTGTGTATGTGTGTGTGTGTGTGTGTGTATTTTATTACAGTGGAATTAAATTACTAAAGTGAAAAGGTCTCTGGAAAGTTAACATTTGAAAACTAACAGTTCTGAATAATATACCATCAAAGAAGAAATCAAAAGGAAAATTAGAAAGTATTTTAAACATTGCTTGCAAAAAAATATTACCTTAAAACACAGGCACAAATCAATTCAAAAATAGAAAAAAATAAAAGCACAAGATACAAATATGTGGAACACAGCCAAAACAGTACTTAGAGGAAAAGTTATAGTCCTTAATTTCTATAATTGGGCAGGAAAAAAGTTTCAATTCAGTGATCCTTAAACTTGGGCAGGGGAGAGGGGGAAGAGTGAAATGCAAAATAAGCAGAAGAAAGGAAATAATAAAGAACACAGAAAAAAATCAGAAATAAAAAATGGAAAAATATAGAGCAAACTGATGAAGCCAAAAGCTAATTCTTTCAGAAAATTAATAAAATCAATAAACCAACAGCCACAAAATCAGGAAAAATGAAAGAAGATACAAATTACCAATATCAACAGTGAGAGAGATGGCCCAGGTACAGACTCCACAAATGTTACAAGTTTGATGAGGGAACTTCGTGAAAATCTCTATCAATAAACTCAAGAACTTAGAAAAAATGGACAAATTCTTTAAAAAATACAGATTACCAAAGGCTCTCTCAGCCTGATTATTAGTGTATCTACTCAACAAATTGAATTTATAGTTTATGCATCCTCCCACAAACAATAATCCAGGCTCACTGAGGAATTCTACTGAACATTTAAGAAAAAAAAACTTCTAAGTAATTCTGCCCATATTTTTCCATAAAATTGAAAACAAAGTATTGCTTCCCAATCAATCTGTGAGGCCAGCATCACTCTCATACCAACCAGATCAAGGCATAGGCAAAGAAAACTATGGTCCCTATCCCTCATGAACACAAAATATTATAAAGCTGTAGTAACCGTACAGCGTGAGACTGACATTAAGATAGACAATAGAGATTCCAGAAATAGATCCACACGAATGTATGGTCCATTGATTTCTGCGAGGAAGATGTATGTCAATTCAGTGGAACGAGGAGGGTCTTCAAGGATGGTGCTGGGTCAGTTGCAGTGTTAGTACATGGACCAATGGAACAGAAGAGAAAATCCAGAAATGTATCCAGCACCTCCCACCATACACTAAAATAAGTCCCCAATGGATCAGAGATTTAAATGTAAAATATGAAATTGCAAGTGCTAGGAGAAAACATATGTGAGTTCTTTTATAACCTGGAAGTGAGGGGAAATCTGTCTAACTATAATTCAAATTTTTTGTTTTTACAAAAAGAGGGGGGAATGGTAATTCCCATCATATTATACAAACAGAAACTTGTGTATGAATGTGTGCATATAATATTTTGCAACTTGCAGTAAAAGAATCATCCCTGACATACAGAGAGCTTCTAAAATTTTAGAAGACAAGCAAATTTATAGAATCCTAGCTGATAAATATGAAAAGATAAGTTATAGAAAATTAGATACATATAAATTAGATACATATAAAAGTACGTTCAGCTATCCCTGTATAAAAAGAAATGCAAATTAAAACAACACAGGGACATGGTTTCTCCCCTATCAGCTTGGCCAAAAATCAAAAAGTTTAACGGCATATTCTGCAGGGGAAGCTACAGAGAAACATGTATTCCACATTTTGCTGGTAGGAAGGCAAAATCATATAACCCAATAAGAGGTGAATTTGCAATATATAGCAAAATCACATATTACATATACACATAGCATACACATATTACATATACATCTCACCTAATACATATGACCCTATAACTCAACAATTCCACTTCTGGAAATTTATCCGGAGATCTGCTCACATAAATTCAAGATGATTTACACTTTAGGCTTTTCATCACACTATTTATAAGAGCAAAACCTGAGCTGCTACTAAATAAATCAGAGTTCAGCGACACAGCTGAGCACTGCGTGGGTTCAGAAGGGCCCATGCATGACTTAACTAGACGAAGATAAACGATTTCAAGGGATTTTGTAAAAGGGTTTACCTGAGCAAAGTGGTGAACATCTATAATCCCAGAGACTCTGGAGGCTGAGGCAGGAGGATTGCAAGCTGGAGGCCAGCCTCAGCAACCTAGAGGGGATCTATGCAACTTAGGGAGACTCTGTCTCAAAATTAAAAAACAAGTGAGGCTGGGGATATGGCTCAGTGGTTGAGTGCCCCTGGGTTCAATCCTTGATACCCCCCCCCAAAAAAAAAGAAGAAGAAGAAAAACAACAACAGAGTTTAGCTTGGGTTCATTAAGAACCAGACCCTGAGGCTAGAACTTGAATTCAAGAAATTCCAGTAAGAGAAGAGTGTCCTCAGAAAACAAAGGGTGTGTTATTATCAAGCCCACTACCACAGTCAGCATTGGGTGCTCACTCCTGTTGAAAAACCATAGGAAATAGTAAGGAATGTGGTATAGAATTCAGTAGGGATGTTGACCTGGTTTGCTTTTTTAAAAATATTTATTTATTTATTTTTATGTGATGCTGAGGATTGAACCCAGTGCCTCACACATGCAAGGCAAGCACTCTGCCACTGAGCCACAACCCCAGCCCTGACCTGGTTTTTTTCTACAAGTAAAGGCAAATGATAAAAAGAGGAAGAGAACTTTTTTAGATTAAAAAAGGCTTAAGAGACATCAACTGAATATAACATATGGCTCTTGCTTGGATCCTAATTCAAACAAACCAACTATAAAATTATATTTATGGGACAAGCAGAAAAATCTGAATGCTGACGAATATCAGATGATATGGAGGTATTGTTTTTGAATCTTAATTATCATCATGGTGTTTTGCTTGTTTAAAAAGAATTCTTGACTCAGACAAACATTTTATTCCTAGTTAGGAATGAAACAAGAGAGCCTGGCATTTGTTTTAACATAACCCAATGTCATCACCTCCTGGCCTTTTGGCTAAGAGTCTGAGTTTTATCAGTTTAATATCTAAAACGTCCTCTTTCCAAGGACAATGTGGTAAGTGGATTTTGGGAGCAGGGAGATGGACTGGGAACTTGCTGCATCCACTCCACATCATACTGGTATTACAGTGCCTCCAGGAATGGGGCGCCTCTTGGGGACATTCAAGAAATAAAACAGCCCAGTGTCTGGCTGCCTTAACTAGCATAATGCCCTCTAAAATTCACCCACGCTGCAGCAAATGGAAAGATCTCCTCTTTTAAGGCTGAATAATCTTCCACTGTGCAGACTCCTATACCACAATTTCCTTCTCCACTCATCCGTTTACAAACCCATACGTCGTTTTCATGTCTTGGCTCTTGTGAATAATGTTGCCATGAACATGGGGTGCAGAAAAGTTTAGGAGGGGATGCTTTCATTTCCTTTGGGCATATACCTAGAACAGGAGTTGCTAGATCATGGCAGCTCTATTTTTCATTTGTTGTCCTTATATGAGGAATCTAAAAAAAAAAAATGACTCAAATACATAGAAACAGAGAGTACAATGGTGGTTACCAGCAAAAGGCAGTGGGTAAAATGAAAGTCAAAGTAACAAAATTTTATTTATATAAAATAGGTAAGTCTAGAGATCTAGTGCTCAGCCTGAGGCATAGTTAATAATAAGTTATATACAGAATATTTACTAAGACAATAGATTTTAGGTAACTTTACCACATACAAAAATGTGACTAAGACAATAAATAAATTATCTTGACTATAATAAGATCGTTTTATTATGCATACATACGCCAAGCCATTATGTTGTATGCATTCAGGATATACAGTTAAAATAGATAAACTAGTAGATGGTAGGAAAAATATAGATGAAACAAGATCTCTATTTGTTGATAATTATTGAAGTCCCATGATGAGTGCTTTCTAATTTTTTTGTGTTTACGATTTATCAACATGAAAAGATTTTTTTTAATCCAAGCCTGTATACCCCTTTGAAAAAATGTTTGTGCACTCCCCGGTCTATATTTACCCTAAGCTGAAGTCCATTTGAACACTTAGCAATTCCTTAGTAGGAGGAATTATAACCATTTGGAAAAAAAATCAGGAATGAATTTATTATACGTTCATAGAAACTAAGCAAATAAAAATAATGAGGCCATTAAAAATTCCTGGGAAAACAAAAGGCTGCCCAAGAAACGTAATGCTAATGTATTACATGGCCCTGCTTCAGGAGATGCTCCTTGGTCATAATAATCTAAATGCTGAATACTGATAAAACAAAAAGAGATAGGAGGATGCAGGGGGGTGAACTGCAGGTGGTCCTTGGAGGGAGATGGCAGAGAGTTAAATTATCTTCTTCCACAATATTATATAAAATTGAAAAAATGAGAAATGACAGTGTAAAGATGTTGTTTAAAACAGAAAGAAACACTCAATCAGCTAAAATAGTTAAAAGCATTTGGTCTATAATTTTGACAAGGATAGGAAATTAAGAGTTCACTGTTTTTCATGCCATGACTTCTATAACTTTTTAACAATACGGTTTGTTGACACAGGGAGGGAGGAGAACAAGGAAATGATGTCCATGGTCACATCTGGAATTTAAGACCCCAAGCATGGACTGGAAGAGTTGGGAAGCAAAGTTAGGCCCTTGAGCTGGTTTATAATGAAGCGATAATAAGACTCACGAAGAGGAGGGAACTGAAGATGAGAGAGAGGCTGGAGTGGGGGAGGCTGGAGTGGGGGAGGCTGGAGTGGGGGTTCAGGCAAGGTGAACCCTGAGGGTGGCCGTGGTGCCAAAGTGCAACTCGCCATCTTCACCTCTCTCTTTCCTCCTCCTTTGCCCTGATCCAAGCTGAACCCTCCCCTCCAGAGATCTCTGGCCCCTCCAGCAGGGCCAGCCCCGGCCAAGTCCTGAATCTCACCTGCATCTCAAAGGGCTTCTTTCCCAAACACATCGACCTGCAATGGTTCAAAGACGGCAGGGAGCTGCCGGCCTTCCACACCCTGGTCTTCCAGCCTGGAGAGGAGCCCTCCTACGCCATTGTCAGCACCACTCTGGTGTCCCTGACCTTCTCCTCACTCTACTCCCACGTCACCTGCCAAGTGGCCCACAGTGAGTTGCAGAGCCCCCACAGAAGGCACGTGAACATCTCGCAATTCCTCCAAGGTAAGACCCCCCCCACCTCCTGGGCCGACCTTTGGTGGTGGCCATGGGCTCCCCAGTCGGAGCTCTTCCCTGCATCCTCCCATTCATTCTCCAGGGAACCTCGAGGGAGCTGAGCGTGAGGTTCTTGATGTATCTATCCCCCTCCCACATCAGAGCTTCCTAGTGTCTTTGGGAGGTGGAAATTCATTCATTCATCCAATGTGTTGACTAAGCATCTGCTTTGGGGATGGCATTATTCTAGATGCTGGGGATTTCATGGCAAGCAGAACAGACCTCGTTCTGTCTCATGAATTCCATCCGCCAAGTCCCAAACGATTATACAGAACATGTGCTCTGAGGAGAAAGAACAGATTGCTGCATTGATATAACAGGAGAAGTCTGGTTTATTGGAGAAATGTCTTTTGGAAGAAGTGACGTTTGAGTCAAGATATGAAAGAGGAAAAGGAATCATCCAAGCAAAGTAGAGTGTTCTAGGAAGAGGAAACAGCACATGCAAAGGCCCTGTGGTGGGGCAGTGGTGAAGAGTTAAGACATGTTTGAGGAACAGAAAGAAGATCAGGGTGACTGGGACCTAGTGAAAAGACAGGTGTGTGGAAAAGGAAAGGGAGTGGGGACCAGATTGCTCAGGGCTTCTAAGCCTCAGCAAGGATGTTTCTCCCACTTGAACTCCTAACAACATTGTCCAGGTCCTGCTTTTGAAATATGCTTCTTCTACCTGCCACTCCACCCCACCCTGGGCAGGCAGGAGCAGTGCAGGCTGCGCCTCCCCTTCTTGTTCTGCCTTTATGAAGGGAAAGCCTCTTGTTCATTCCCCAGGAGCAAAGCCCAGGCTGTTGTGTTGAATCAAACTGCAGAATAAGTAGGCAAGTAAAAGAAATTTCTCCAGCTGCTACTCAAGTCCATGCCCTGGCCTGCAAGGGGCCTTTCCCCCAGGGTCTGCTCTCTCCTTAGCGCCTCAGCAACCTCAGCATGGCGAGGTCCCACTTACCTCCTGCAGGTGGTGAAATTCCTCCCAGGGGTCCAGTGACCGAGTTGTTCTTCTTTCCAAATCCAGCCGTTGAAAACCAAAGATCTCCCATTACCAGCACCATGATTTCCACAGCACCCTCCCTCCCCATGGAGACAATCTCTGGTATCCCAATAGACAGAGTTCAGCTCTTTATGACTCAAATGCCTGCATCCCAAAATAGGAGTCTGCCTGCTTAACCAAAAAATCAAAGTTTTAAATTCTACTCTCCACCTTGAACACCCCAAAGAAACTCTATGGCTCTTCGTCCTGGTTCCTGCAGATGAGGAAACCGAGGCCTGGAAAAGCTAAATTCTTGCCCAAGGTCACATGACTTTTCAGTAAGCACACTTCAGAGTCCCTTCCCTCCCTTAAGAATCACCGCTGTGGCCAACTGAGGAACTCTGCTTCCGGCTCTACCTCCCCCCAGAGAAGCCGTTCAGTCATGGTCAGCCTAGAGATGGGCATGATCCTTTCTCCCCACTGTCTCTGTCACACAGTTCCTCTGCCTCCTCTGTGGATGAAGGGAGCACACTCTCCATGAACCGGCTCCCCAGCCCGGAGAACCCTCCTTGCCCAATCCTTCACTAAATTCTATTATTCCCCCTTAAATCTCCTCTAAAATCCCAGCAACTCAAGAGGCTGAAGCAGGAAGATCACCAGTTCAAAGCCAGCCTCTGCAATTTAGCAAGGCCCTACATAATTTAGTGAGACCCCCATCTCCAAATAAAAATTTAAACAGGCCAGGGATGTGGCTCAGTGGTTAAGTGCCCCTGGTTTCAATTCCTGGTACCAAAAAAAAACGTCTTTTGAGCCCATACATTTCTGTCTACTTCCACTATCTGAATTAATACCCAAGTTCAAGCCGACATTATCTCTTACTTGGCAATCGCAATAGCCTCCTAATTAATCTCTTGTACCCATGTGCCTTCTGCAGTTCATACACTAACCCTCCAGCAGCCAAAGCCATTTTTCTAAAGAAAACCAGACCATGCCCCTCCTCTGCTTAAAACCCTACAGTGGCTCACCATTGCTCTTAAGGGTAAAAAAAATCTACTGGAATGCTTACCAAGCATTTTTGCTCATATACCCAAAAATACTTATGGAGGGCTATGTAGTTTATCATGTATTTTAAAGTTGACACCTAAAATTATTCATCATAAGCTTAAATGATTGCATACAACATAATCCCTGAGAAGTTACATCCATCTGAAAATATTTAATGGAAAAATAATATCATACTTCCACTATCATCCATTGAAACATAAAGTCTTCTTTGATAATAAGAAATTGTACAGCACTCCTTTCTCTCCCTAAATTTGTGTCTTTATTCTAATTCCATATTGGAAAGTTCTTTTTATTGACCACAATATCATACAGACTTATTATCAAAGAGAACCACGAAAATACAGAGGACTCCAACAAGACTGAAATTTTTTAAAAAATTTCTTGCTACCATAAGGCTCTCAGTGTTCAAAAAATTATTTCACGTTGAGTTAGTTACACGATCGACTAAAACAATCTAAAAGTATGACAGGTTTTATAAATAATTATTAAAAGAGTCTTTAGAGATGTGATTGGGAGCGCAGTTTGGTGAGGCGGTGGGAGGTCTGTGATGCTGTGGCCAGGACGGGCTTCCTGCCAGCAGGTTGGTGAACTGTCCTTTTATCCTGGGTCCCAAAGTCTTCAAGCTGAGGGCAATGCACCATAGCTAGGTTCGGGACGTGTGGGACAAAGGCCTTTCTTTTGTGAAGTATGAGGAAGAAAATTCAGAAACAAAGGAGGTCAGAGAGGAAAGGCCTTGATGTTTACTCTCAGGCCATCAGTTTACAAAAAGAGTCCTATGGGGGTCAGGATTTGGAAAGCAATTTAATGAAAACCATCAGGGTCTCTACTCCTTAGAATGCCTTTCAGAGCCTTCAGGGGTGGCACTCATAAGCACAGCTACTAGAATGGACTGGGAATTTGGCCTCACCTCACCCATACTCCCTCTCTCTCACTTTGGTCTTGTATCTTAAAGCTTTGGAACCTGCTAAGCTTCACCACAGGGCCTCTGTCCATGCCCTTCCTCTGTCTGAGATGCCCTTCCCCAACCCCCTCTCTCCCAGATCCCTTCTTCCTGACCTTCCCCAGCTCCTTTGGCCTAATACTCCAGCTACCAGGCTGTTGTGTTGAATCAAACTGCACAAATAAGGAGTGGAGGTAAAGGAAATCACCCTGCATAGGTCCTTTTCCCAGGGGTCTGCACTTTTCTTAGCTCCTCACCAACCTCAGCCTGGTGAGGCCCACTTCGCCTCCTATAGATGATTAAACTCAAATTATTTTTATCCAAGTTATTCCAGTACTCCCAATTTATTTCAAATCCTCCACATCATTACACTCACAGATTCTCGGGGTCAGAAATTCTGACGGAAGTGGAGCAGTGGTGGCTGGTCTCTGCTCCATGATGCCTGGGCCTTGGGCAAAGGCTGGGGCCTGGCCTTGGTGCTGGCTTCAGGCTTGGGGCCTGGGTTCTCCTTGACACAGGCCTTTCCTCATCGTCTTTGCACGTGGGCTGGTTTGGGCTTCCTTATGGCTGGGTGCTGGGTACGAAGGGTGTATCCCAAGAAAGATGGCGCCTGAGCCAGGTGAAAGCCATGTCAATCTGATGACCCGGCCTTAGACGTCCCACAGGCCATCTCTGCCACATTCTGCTCATCAGACCGTCACAAAGTCCCACTCTGATTCCAGGGAGAGGAGAAACAGACTCCATCTCTGATGAGGAGAGGTAAAATTTTGGAAGACCATGTGGGGCTTGCTGTCACCATTTTTTAGAAAATACAATCTGTGCATATAGTTAACTCCAAGTATGTTATCTTTCCTATTTCTGCCCAAAGATCATTTCCTCCAGAAACCTGCCCTAGTCTGTCTACCTCCAGACCAGGTGAGGTGGCCCTACTGTAGGAACCCCTGTGGGAATCCCATGATTGCTTCCTCCTCACCAGAGTGGGCACGCCGGGAGGCAGGGACATGCCTTCCTGGTTTACTGTTATATTCCAAGAACTGAGCACAAGGCCTAGCAAGGGACAGATGCTCCTTGGGCCTTTTTGCACAAAGAAAGAAAGTAAAAGAAGGCTATTGTTTCAGTTGTCCCCACAGTGTACACCTCAGCACACTACATCCCAGGACTCCAGGTGGCCCTTCTCACCTGCTGTGTGCAAAGGTTTTACCCTGAAGACATGCGAATCACCTGGCTGGAGAGGAACGGGTGCTTCAAGATCTGCGCGGCCTCTGCCCCCACCGAGAACCCAGACGGCACATTCAGCCAAGACAGGCACATCCTGGTCAATGCTTCAGAGTTGGAGAACCCAAGGCTGTTCACCTGCCAGGTGTGGCACAATGACCAGGTGCTGGTCCAAAAGAGCATGCACCTGAGTGAGTCTGGAGGCCTGCAACTGAACTTGGGTAAGTGGGAGCGGACTCACCGCACAGACCTACAGTCACACAGGCTGGTTGAGAAACTGACCCTGCTCTACTCACTGTGTGTGAGTGACCTTGGAGAAGTCACTTCACCTTTCTGGAACTCTTCATCTGTAATATGTGAAGGCAATCACAGTATCCTCTTCAGAAGGTGATGCCTTTGGTACCAAAGAGCAGAAGTGCTGTTTTCACAGCTGCAAGCTGACCACCCACCCATGTGACCAGGTGGGCAAGCTCACGTGAAACCTCCTTCCTCAGTTCCCACCCAAAAGCCATTCAGCTTCAACAATTACTGAGCACCTACTAGGTCCTTTGTGTGGGTGTTGTCACTCCATACAAAGACTTCTCAAGAACATGTTCCAATGCCCACTTTAAAGATGAGGAAACTGAGGCTTAGAGAGGTGAGGTGACTCCCTCCAAGACCAAGGTGTAGTCTTGGTACCTGGGTCAGGGCAGGGCTGAGCCTGTCTGGGGGTTGAGCAATGGTAGAGGATCCAGGCTCACCCTGACCATCCTGATGTCCTTCTGTCATCAGGTGCCACCGTATACAGCTACATTCTTCTCCTTGGCTGGAAGTTGTTTCCTCTGATGGCACTTTGTGCCATCTATGCTCTCAGGAGGAGCCTCTCTTCCAGGTAAAGTGGGACCCAAGATAAAGAATGTGATGTCAGGGAGGGACCTCAGCTAGAGAAGAAAGCCACCAGGTCCTCCCTGACCTCCTCTACCTTGAAGGGGTATTGAATCTGGAGGACCCTGGTAGCTGTGCCCCAGTCCCTCAACCTTCCTCTCTGTCTCTCACATGTGCTCTGGTCTGGACTGGAAGAGAGTCAGGTGCAGTGGCTCATGCCTGTAATGTCAGCTACTCTGCTCAGGAAGCTGAGGCAGGAGGATTCCAAGTTTGAGGCCAGCCTGAGCAACTTAGCAAGAACTTGTCTCAAAATTTAAATAAATAAATAAATAAATAAGAGAGAAGGGCCGATGTAGCTGGGTAATAAGTGAAAGGAAAGGCAGATGTAGCTTGGTAATAAGTGCGGCCAAGAGAGCTTTATTGCAGTAGTACAAAAGAGGAGAAAGAGAGAGAGAAAGAAAAAGGGGGGGGGAAGAAAGAGAAGAGGAGAGATGGAGAGAGGGAGAGAGAGAGAGAGCGCACGAGCAAGAGAGAGGGGCCCGGTAGGAGGGAGTTTTTATAGCCTAAATCTAATGAGGTCTCTGGGTCTGCAAGCTGCCTTGTCGGTACAAGGAGGGTTAAATGTTCAGCCTTGAGTGGGGGGGTTGACGCAAACAGGTGATAAAGGACCAGACAGAGGGGGGTTTGAGTGTGTGGGCTATCCTGCAGATAACAAAGTTCAGCCTGCCCTGCACCTAACAATAAGCACACCTGGGTTCAATCTCCAGTACTGTGTGTGTGTATGTGTGTGTGTGTGTGTGTGTGTGTGTGTGTGTGTGAGAGAGAGAGAGAGACAGAGGGGGAGGGGGGAGGGAGAGGGAGAGAGAGAGTGTGTTGGTGTGGAGATGAGAAGAACAAGGGTCCTCCTCAGCTTCCTGGTTCCTCTTCAGGTCACAGGCACTGCCAGGACAGGCCACCTCAGGGACATAGGACCTTAGTTCCCTTCTGTCTTGTTCAGGAGGACTGCGGGATGCCTGCAGCTGCCACATTGGCTTCTGCCTTGTCAGCCTGCTGACATCTGCCCCTCTCTAGCTCTCCTTCCTCCCTGTCTCCTGCAGGCCCCAGAGAAGGTGAGAACCTGGACCAGGAAGGTCGGCAGTGAGAGGTGGCTTCTCATACCCTCCTCAGGAAGGAAGTTTCTGTAGAGATTCTGGCCTCAAAGTCTATGACTCTGACCAAGAAACCAAGATGGAAACACACACCTGCAGTTCTACTGGCCCTTCCTAGCCCTTTGGGGACCCAAGTGCTACCATGAAACTCTGGCAGCCCCTTAGTAAACAGGAAACACCTTGGCAAAGCCACACTGAGGTGCCATTTTGTCCCTGTTCAAATAGCAAACTAAAGAAGCAATTGAGTCTTTCTTACAATATTTGTAGGCACATAAATATGGGCATAGCTACTTTTGAAAACATTTTGGAAAATGTTGTTGCACTGAACATTCACATACCCTATAACCTGGCATTTCCAATCTTGGGTGTAGAAGAAACTCTTGCACCTGTGCCCCAGGAACTGTGTACAAATATATACATAATAGCATTTTTTTAAATTAGCAAAACCTGAAAACTCTCCAAATGCACATCTACAGGCTGTTACTCAAATAACAAGTGGTAGAACCAAGACATCCAGCTTCAAATCCGAGTCCAAGTTCCTTCCTGTTCATTTGCATGATCTCTCAGACCCTACTCAGTGCTTACTGGGACCATTCCAATGGCCGCCTCACAGGGGTGCCCTGGAGCCTTCCATCCATCCATTACAGCAGAGCGGTCTTTTCAAAGCATTTATTCAAAAACTTTAGATAGTTCATCATTCCCTAAATCAAACCTCAAAAAGGGTTTAGAGGATGCCCCAGGTATGTCATACCTTGAAACCAGATGAAACATGTAGCTGGAAGGGTTCCCATTTGGACACAAAGTTTCTTTCGGGTGTAACTCCAGATTGGAAATGCCAGGTTGTAGGGTTGTATTCAATGCAACAACATTTTCCAAAAAGATGCATTATCCATTTAAGGAAATGGCCTCATCCTAGCCCAGCCCATCCCAGAGTTAGCTCACTGTAAAGGCTCTCTCTTCATTTACTCCACAAATATCACTGGGTATGTACTGCGTACCGCTGGGTAGACACTGAGCAAACGCTGGTCAATGCTGATAAAGGCGGTCTCAGCCTTTATGGAGTTTACAGACTGCTGAGAACATAGGAAATAGAGAAGAAAGGACCCAGGCTGCAAAGAGAAGGTGGGGGGAAAGGATGACAGAATGTAAAGCATGCTCTGAAGAAAAGAAAAGTGTCTGCAGAATAATGGGATTACAATGACAGAGATATCCACGGGGGTCAGGAATTAAGTGGCTGCTCGATACAAAGAATGGTTGGTGGGAAAGCCTTTCTAAAAAAGAGGTGCATTTGAGCTAACAGCTCCAAGAGGCTGGGAAATACCTTATTATCAGAGGGAATCTATTGTGCCAAACCCTCCAGTGTGGAGGACCTGGGGAGGCTCAAGGAAGTGGAAGGGGACAGCGGGGGGGGGGGGGGGGGGGGCAGGAGAGTGCAAGTAACAGGACATGGGGCAGAGCCGCAGGGATGCCAGGGAGCCATCTTACACAGGGATGACAGCCACCGGAGAGATTTAGGATTTTAGTCAAAGAACGCGAAGACTCGAGAGTTTTAATCCACAGAGCAAATGACAAGATCTGATTTACATTTATAGCAATTACCGTGGCTCCTGTGGGGTAAGTAGATTAGAGCACAGGAGGTAATGATCAAATTCAGACGTTTGGTGACCACAGTGAATCAAGAGGCCATGAGGGTGCCAGGAGCTGTGGTGGTGCTGATGCACATGGAGACAGATCGACTAACCTCGGGGTTATATCCTAACAGTGGAAATGACAGGGCTCACTGGGGACTGCATGTGAAAGGTGCCGGAGGAAGAAGAATTAGGGATGGCTTTAAGGCAAGGTTAGGGTTAGGGGGAGGAAGGCAGGTGGGAGAAGGGGGCTGGTCATGGGACTTAACAGTTCAGCTGTAAACAGGAAGCAGAGATGCTGAGTAGGAAGATGGACAGATGTGTATGGAGTTCAGAGAGAGAGGTCAAAGCTGGAGAGATATTTTTGGAGCCATCGGGCCTGGAAAGCTGGTTGCCAGGGCAGCCAAGCAGCAGAACTAAAATATCTAGATTTTCCTTTTCTGTCCTTCTGGCCTCCCAAAAGCACTTGGATACAACGTGATCTCCAGGCTCTGGTACAAAACAAGGACTTGCACAGGCATGAATTGAAAGGAAAAACAGAAAGACAAAATTCTTTCAGTTGTCAGGACAGCATGATTATAGATATATTTTTCTTTTCTTTTTTGTTTTCATATCTACTGAGAGTTGTTGGTGGGTTTCTTCAACTAATCGTTTTTTAAATAATTAAATATAGTCTTGAATAAGTGGCCAAAAAAAAAAAAAAGTAACCGGGTGCAGTGGCACACGCCTGTAAATCCCAGCAGCTGGGGAGGCTGAGACAGAAGGATCGAGAGTTCAAAGCCAGCCTCAGCAACGGCAAGGTGCCAAATAAAATACAAAATAGGGCTGGGGATGTGGCTCATTGGTTGAGTGCCCCTGAGTTCAATCCCCGGTCCAAAAAAAACAAGTAAAGTAAACCTTGATGCCTGCAGGGGTTGGGAATGTCCCCCTTGTTCCTGTCACCCTGGAGTATCCTGGTAATTCTCAGTAGCTTCACTGGATCCTGGGAAGAGATCTTGCAAAGACAGCCACAGAGGCAGGAAGGCATTCACAAATGGACCCTGAAACATCTGAGAGACGCTGTTCCTTGACATCACAATCTGAGCTGGAAAAGCTTTTGGTGCCACCCGGTCCCACCCCTCTACATCAACCTCAGTTAATAGATGGGAATGTTATATCCTGAAGAGACTGGACGATATCATCAAAATAAACCAATGCCACCATTCCAGGTGTGCAAAAACATAATACCATTTTAAATTTTTCCACCATCTAACATGATTTCTATTTTAAACACCCTTTCCATGGATTTAACCTTGGTGGTTCAGGATGTTCTCCATCAAATCAGATTTCCCCCACCTTCCCGTCCCCAACATGTCTCAGGTGCCTTTGTGACCTGGATCCACACAGGTGCCCCCAGCGTGAACTTCTTCCTGACCCCAGGGCTTCTCCAAACCTGCTGGCTTTGAGCTGCACCCACAGTCCTCTTATGCACCCTGGATGATTTGGCTACTCTGGCACCCCAGGAGCTCTGCAAGGTGGCTTGAGGGCCCTTCCTCTCAAACACAATGTATACTCCATCGGCTCTTCTGTGGCCAGGTCAGGCTAGGGACACGAACTCCACAAGCTCTGTCACCCCAAAGGAAAATTTGAGTACTCTGACTCTTCAATCCTGCCAAATTTGACCTGGGGCTGAAGGGAGCAGGTGGCAGGACCCCTTTAGAGTGCCCTTCCCCCTCCCCTCCTGTGTCCTGCCGCAGCCCCCCCGGCTGGCTGCAGCAAAATAACCTGGGGGTGACGAACAACTTGTGTACCTTGATACAGCAGGAGTAGGAGCCGTTTATTGCAGGACAGGAGCAGTATTTATACATTCCACACAGCTTATCTAATTAGCATAAACTAGATACATCAGTCAACCAATAAGGAATCTCCACACTTAATGGCTCGCTTTTGTTACTTCTCAAACCACTCCCTCTGGCATTTTGCCAAGCACCATCCAGACTTGTTTACGAGCTCTAACATTCCCCTGGCAAAATGCCAGGTGTTATTTTGACTTGTTTACAGACTCTAACAGTGTCCCTCACCTTGAGCAAGCTTGCCCTACTCCAGCAGGTAACTGAGGTGGGGGTGGGGGGCAGCCAAGAAGAGACTAGCTCTCAGGAGCCCATATTTTCCCAAACTTTTGCATCTCTCTCATCTGGATCTCAGCTTCTGAAACTCGAGTGCATTTGTTCTTTTTCTGCAGTGATGGCCTTGAGACAGACGCATTATATTCATCGGCTGCCTAATTTGGTCACAATAAAAAGCTCTGAGGGAAAGACACCTTGGAAAACGGGGCTGCAGAGCTCAGCAGCGCCACCAACAGGCAGATTTTATAATGACCTGTCAGAATTAGACACTCCAGGGGTGCATGATAGCTTAATTCTATCAGAGAAAAAAGATGGAAGAATTTGCAATAGTATGGGGTGTTTGTTAAAAATTATTTGACTTTTATTCGTTTATTTTTTCATAAACACTAATGTGAATCTAGGGGGGAAATTGAATGCATTCAACCCCATACAGAACCCACCAATTCCCCATGTGTCTCGCTCCTACAAATTTCCTGCAGTCCTCCATTAGTAAAATGTGGAAAGAGAGAAAATAATGAGTTTCATGAAAACCACTTGGAACCCTCATTTTCCCCCCAGATTTCCTGGCGGAGTTGATCTCAAGCTTGGCAGGAAGAAGCAAAAGAGTCATGTAGAGGGCAGATTCACAGTGGGATGTATTGCCTGGCCCTCAGAACCTCTTACTCTGAATCTTCTGCCTTACTTTCTATGATTCTTTAACAAAGATAATTTCTACTTCTAAACGTAATTTCTATGGTGTTTTTAAAAAGGTATGTATTGAACTGATCCATAGAAAGGTTTTTCATTTTTCACCATCTCCACCATGCACAGAGATGGTGATCTCGTGGAATATCTTTCCCAGAAACCTCCAGCAGATTTTCCTTCCCATCTGATTAGCCAGAATCTCAACACATGTCCCAGACTCAACCAGTTATTTGAATAATCATTGCCCAGAGTGTGGAGCTGCGTAATTGGCTTGAACCTATGAATATTCGTCTCCTGGGGTTCTAGAAGAGCCTAGGTTCCACTGAAACTCGTTTCAGTATGGAACAGGGATTCTGTTGGCAAGGCAGGAGAGGGAAATGGCCGTGGAGAGACCCTAACAAGGGTATCTTGCAGAGTGTAAGTGGTGAGTTCAGTGAGGTATGAAAAATTGCATCTTGCTAGGATGAAAAGCCCTGAAGGTCCCTGGACCTGGGGTCAGGGTGCTGAACGCATGTCAGAGAAGGTTTAGGTTCCAAACACCAGATTCTTGGGGGTTTCATCAAATGTCCCCCAAGAAAAAGCTTGGTATGGAGAGAATGGAGTAGCCAGCAGAGCCAGGCACCTGCAAATGAGTCGGTTAGGCCTGAACAAGGAGCAGTGGTCTCAGTGACCCCCACCCCCAAAGACTGAGAACTAAGGCTCATCCCATTTGTCCTGTAGGCAGTCAGCCCAGCTGCCTTATATAACCAGAAAATGGGGATAGGGGGGCATGAGAAA